AAAATATGTTAAAGCTACCCAGGCAACTGGGTGAATTTCTCCCTAATGATTTAAATGGAGCTCAGGGCTTATGGTAAGTTTCACCCTATGTAAATAGATTCATATATTAACTCTTAGAAAGTTTGTACTATAAGCTAAGTTATCTAGGGTGGACCGAATAAAAGCCAATTTAGTAAATATATTTTTTTAAATATTGAAATACAGATGCTTACTCTGGAAGAGGGCCAGTGAATTTCAGATTCTGCCTCTTTATCCTCAGCATGATCCGATGAATATGCTTCTTCCACTGACGCTATATTTTTAATGGTGCAAGATGTTGAGCATTCTGTGGGACCTAAGCCAGTTAAGCACATGCTTAGCAAGTGGTTAGGTTCATTGCTACAAGTAAGGACATGATGTGAAATTCTGGCCCCATTTAAATCAATGGGAAGTTTTGCCATTGACCTCAATGGGGCCTAGATTTCACCCCTGGATTATATAATAGTATTTTATGAGATTTGTTATGGACCACTTTTCATGTCACCAAAGTATATATGTCACCACATGGGGAATCAGAAATTTGATAACAGAGGGCTCTTCAATCTAGCAGACAAAGGTATAACAAAATCCAATGGCTAAAAGTTGAAGCTGGAGAGGTTTAGACTAGAAATAAGACAGAAAATGTTAACATTGAGGATAATTAATCTTGGAAAAACTTACTCAGGGTTGTGGTGGGTTCTTCATCACTGGAAATTTTTCAATCAAGAGTGGATGTTTTTCTAGACGATATGCTATAATTCAAACAGCAATTAATTCAAGGAAGTCCTATGGCTTGCTTTATGTAGGAAGTCAGACTAGACTATCACTAAAGCCCTTTTTGGCTTTATAATCTATGAATCATACTGGATTGAACACCAGACCAATTTCTCAAGTAATGTTGATTTCTTCATTCCATGGACTGCATTATTAATTATTATTGAACATTTATATTGCAGTAGTGCCTACAGGCCAACCAGATCAGGGTTCCATTGTGCTAGATACTGTACAAATAAACAGTAAATAACAATCATTATCCCAAATATTTTAGTTTTTGTTATTTATTTAGAATCTATTTTTGGAGTTCTAACTAACTATAATTCCATACTCAGTACCCGTAAATCTACGGTGGTGCATGATTAACGTTTAGGAGGAGGGAGTGGTATTACATTTTTTAATTACTGAGCCATATTTTTCCATTTTGGTTGCTGACCCTTTCCTCTTAAAAAAATGTAGCAGTTGGACATAATTAAAATAATTTAGACTCAGAGGGCTGAATTATTTTTGTAATGCTCCAGTTATTTCAATGTGTTAATATGAGAGAGAACATTGAAAAACAAGAACCATAACTGGATGGATGCTGACATAAAAATGTTTGAAGTTTATATTTAATAGCTTATACAGAAAGACTTTTCTATCATGGCAATTTGGAAGTTAATTTATCTTCATTTCTTTTTATAAGCAGCTAAGTCAGTTACATCAAAACAAATATCATTGAAACCCAGCTGTCAAGCTGTTGCATCATATTAGAAGGCACAAACATCAAGGAAGCGAACAGTTCATTTACCTGGATAGCACCAAACTAGCCAATGGAGACCTCAAAAAAGAAGTAACATCAAGGATAGGAAATGCATCCACAGCATTCACTAAACTCAACAATGTATGGAAATCAAAGGTATACAGCACCAAAATAAAACAGAATTTTCAACTCAAACATAATCTCAATTCTAACTTACAGCTGCAAGAGCGGGAGATCTATTAAAATATTAGATAGAAAACTAATTGCCTTTGAAACTAAGTGCCTAGAAAGATTCTAAGCATTGAGACTGTATTACCAGTGAAGAGATCTGAGAACTTACCAGCCAGCAGCTTGTCTTCACTAGAATTAGAAGGAAGTGCTGCATGTATTTGAGGCATGTACTCTGGACGCCAACACAGAGACTCCCACATGAAGCTGTCAACTGGAAACTAACTGGTGTTAGGAAACGAGAGTACCCAAGAAGAACCCTTGGCAGGGAGGGCAGAACAGTCAATCTCAACACCATAGAGCAGATGGAAGCGGCAGCTAACTACAGAGAGGGGTGGAAGAGACTGGTTTCTGCCCTATGCACCAATATTGGTGCAAGAAAGACATCGGTGCTGGAACTACGGGTGCGGGGGTGCTTCTACACCCTCTGGCTTGAAGTGGTTTCCATTATATACCGGGTTTACAGTTTAGTTCAATGGATCTCAGCACCCCCATTATACAAATTGTTCCAGCACCCCTGAAGAAAGGTATAATGATAAAATAAAAATCAAATAATCATTAAGAAAGTGCATCATTCAGTTACTTCCGTTTTCTGTGTAACTGTACACTCTTAATATACCAGCTTGAGCCAAATTCAAAGGTAAATCAAAATTTGTCTAAGTAAACCTAGTGGGAGTTTTGAGCGTATCTTCTTTTGGCACAAGGATTACACTAGTTTGGAATCTATCTACATTTAGTTAGACTCCCTTACACTTGCTTGCTTCAGCCCTTCTCCCTTTTGAGCCCTCCCCCCGGAAGGCTCTGCAGGCACAGAATGCCCTTTGTTCAAAAAGTGCAGTGGTGAAAGAATGTTTTGCATTTTACATTTACCTACTGGTAATTATTTCACATTTCTCTGCTGCTATTTGGTTAAGATCTTCCAGGGTAAGGACTGGATTGGAACATTTTGGTTAGTATTAAAACTCTATGGCCCACTCCCATAGTTCTTATTTAGGGACAGCTTCGGATCTCATTTACACTAGACTAACACCAAGGAAGGGACTCTAACTTTACAGGGTATAAATGGCCCTTCAGTTTTACTGGCACTAAAATCAATGATGGGAATGAGTTTACTCTTTTAGTTCAAGAAATTCTTTCTCAACATTAATTTTTTTATTCTTGTTTTGCACCCTCTTTGATTTCTAGTTTATTCATTTACTTTTCCTTGTGAAATTTTTCATTTTTTATATTCCAATCTGCACATATAGACAAACTGTTTCCAGGTAATTTATTGCACAAATAATGGCATGTAAAACTAAATGACCACCTATTTATAGCACAGATAACATACCTTGGATGACTGTATTAATCTAGAGTACACACGTACTACAAGTGATGCAGAAAATATTTATATCCATCTGCATGCTTAACTCGTATTTCTGAAATGAATATTCTTCCAGTGGTAAGTCCAACTGCTGTATAACTAATAAAAAACCTCATGTACTGAAATGCTTAGGCACAAACGTGTGAGTTAAGAGCATTATAATAGCCTTAACTAAGCTTTCTTGAGCTTTGTGGGGTTGAGCCTTACCTTGAAGATAACTTTAGTATAGATTTATTGCATTTATTATTTCTAACGTAATCAAAGGTAACACTTATTCCTAGTTTGAGTAAATTTAACATTTCCTAGCTCTGATGGCTTTTAGACACATTTATGACATTATTTCTGCTGTTGCACTGGGACTTTTTGTTATTTGTTTTGTTGCTAATTTTCTTGTTTATAAATGGGAAAGCCTCACCCATGAGGCTAACTAGTTGTAGGTAACAAATAATTACCCCCATTAATTCAACATATTTCCTTCCAAGCTATCAAAATATTGCAATATTCTAGAGTAATGCCCCCATGGTCCTCCACTTCTCATTTTCACTGGTGTAAATACAGAATAACTCTGCTGAAGTCAGTGGGGTTGCATGGATGTAAAATTGAGGTATACTTTTTATAAGTAGGGCTTCCCAAAGCATCTGCGGTCCCTGCAATTCAATTCCTAAGGTTCCTTCATGGATTCCATGGGGTTCACAACTACATGGCGCACGTAGAGTGACGTTGTTAAGCACCATTTTGCTGGGTTTTTCTAGATTAGGAAGCTTTATCACATTGGAACCCTTTCTAATAGCTCAGCGTCTTTGTGAGTGAGACAGCAAGAAGTTACCCAAGGCCTGTAGTATTGATGATTATATGGGACCCACATGAGCTTGCTCACTAGCCCTGTTTATAAGGCAAGCAACAAATTTAGAGGCTGCGTGTGACCTACACAGCAAAAATCCTCAGCATGACCACATCTTCTGCATCTTTCTTTACATGCTTAGCTGCTCTTCTTGATAGAGAACCTGAGGTTGGCGTGAGCCAATACTGGTCCTCTGGGATTCATTGTCCATTATACCTGCCCAAGATCAGGTTTATGGTTGAGACTAAGGGTTTATCTATACTGGATAGTTTTGCTGCTTTAGCAAGACGAGAATAGTTAAAGCAGCAAAACCTGCCTCGTGTGGATATACAGCTTATTGTGGTTCAGACAGAATAAGCTACACTGGTATAAGGCACCTTGTCCTCTATACCAGTATAACTGTATCAACACTAGATGGCTTTTGCATATAGTGTTATAATTATATCTGTAAAAATCCACCCCCTCAACCAACATAGTTATTGCTATAATTTTTGGAGTGCAGAGCAGCCCTAGGGATTTCTACAGCTCTTAAGGCTGAGCCAGCAATCTGAGAAGACTTTCAGTGCTGATTCCGGTGACCAGACCTCCCAATACTAGGGGATTTGTTTTATACACACAGGCAACTATTAGCCCCCCCCCCAAATGTCCTGATTTTTCCCACTTGCTACTTGGTCACCCCAGTGCTGATGCCATAAGCACAGCTGTCAGAAGAGGGGAGGATCAGAGGGAAAAGTCCCCTCCAGGGAGGCCCCAGGTTTTGAGCCATGGCGCTGTCCGGGTTCACTGCGTGACTCATGATGCCCTCGGCCTCTTTTTTCAGTCTCAGAGGTGGGGCGGCGGGAAGCAACCGCCCTGGTATGCCCAGCAGCTTGGCCTCCTCCAGGGCCGTGGGCACCCGGTGGCGGGCGAGGGGCGGGTAAGCGGGGCGCCCCCGGAGGATGGGCGAACGGGGTCTGCCCGCCCGGGGGAGGCGGGTGCTGCCTGGCTGGGCGGGCTCTAGGACCCGGCGGGCTCCTGCGGCGGTTTCCCGGGGAGTCGGCTGCCGGTGTACGTGGTGCCGCGCGGGTGACTCGGCTCCATTAGGAGCGGCCTGGCGGGGAGCCCCCGGCCGCAGCAGGAGCGCCGCGCGCCTGGCCGGCAAGGATGCGGGCGGAGGGGGGCCCGCGCGAGGAGGGCCTGGAGCGGTTCACCAGCCCGGGCAAGGGCCGGGGGCTGCGGGCCCGGCAGCGCTTCGCCCCGGGGGAGCTGCTCTTCAGCTGCCCGGCCTACACCTGCGTGCTGACCGTCAGCGAGCGGGGCAACCACTGCGAGTGCTGCTTCGCCAGGTACCGGCCGGCCCGGCTCAGCGCCGGGCAGCGGCTCCCCGCGGGTCCTAGCACCGCCCGCCTGCTGTGGGGCCGCGGGAGTGCCCGGCCGGCGCACGTGGGTCAGCGGGGGCTGGGCACGCCTGGGCCCGAGAGGGGGGTGGGGGGGAGCGGGGCTATCCCCGGGATGTGTTGGGCTTGGGGAGGGAGGTTAGAAGCGAAGGGTGGATGGATCCTCTGAACAGACTGAGCCTGGGCGGGGCAGGGGAGGTGAGATCCCCAGAACACGTGGGTCCCTGGTGGTAAGAGATGATGGGTGGAGTCCAGCTATGGGGGGTGTTAGCCTACACTAGTGGTTTTCAACCTTTTTTTTTTTTTTCATTTGTGGCTCCCTAAAAATTTCAAATGGAGGTGCTGACTCCTAGTTTGTGGACGCCCCCCCCCCAGGGGTCAGCAGACCCCAAGTTGAAAACCACTGTTCTATGGTAGTGACAATCTTTCACAGACGCCTTTGATGTAGACGTCGAACCCCCAGGGGTCTGTGGACCACAGGTTGACAATTACTGCCTTAGATTAGGCCTCTGGGGGTGACTTGGTTTCAATCCTGTGCTTTGCCATAGGCTTCCTGTGTTACCACAAACAACTCACTTATTCTCTCTCTCTCTCTGCTTCCTTTTCCCATCTGTAAAATGGGAGTAGTATTTTCCTATTTCACACGGATGAATTAGGGTTGCCAACTGTCCAGCATTGTCCTGGAGGCACTAGGAATTAAAGATTAATCTTTAATTACAGATAATGTCATGTGATGAAACTTCCAGGAATTTATCCAACCAAATTTGGCAACCATATTTGGCATAAATATGTTAAAGGCTAAAGCACTCATATGTTAGGGTAAAGGGGGGGCTCTATATCTTAGATAGCAGGGGCATCGGTGAATACTGCTGCATCCATGATTGGCACTGCCAAGGGCTTTTACATTGCTGAGACACTTTCCCCAGCCTTTCATTCTCTCAGATGTTCTCTCCCTCAAGTCTATGCTCATCTGAAGATCCATTGACATCCAAGTTTGTCATTATTACACCGTAATTTGATCTTCATGTCCCGATTTTACTCCCTCCTTTTTATTAATTAATCGTGGAGGTGAGCACCACAGACATATAAATACATTCATAAAATAATTCCAAATATGGGCTACAACTTCCTGTGGACTCCAGGATCCTCCTTTAAAAAGCTTTCCTTTTTACAGAATTGTTTCTTTCCTTGTATAAACTTTATATGGGTCTTTGGGTACAGCACTGTTACTAAACTTCTTCCTTAAAACTGTTTTTCTTTCAGTTCCATATTCAATTCTGTGTAGGTTGTTCTATCGTGCTCATCACCATAGTATCTGAGCACCTTCTAGAAATGCATTAACTAAATGACTAACACCTGCTCTGTATGTTTGTTCCTTCAAGCGTCCCAAAAAAGTGTCCCATTTCCTCTTGAGAATATTCTCATACTCTGTGGCATGATTCTGAAAACTCTTAGGCTGAGGAATAACTTTACTCATGTGAATAATTGCATTGCATTCAGTGTGACTAAAGTTACATGCATGCCTAAGTGTTTACAGATCAGGGCCTGTACAGTAACTCCCCACTTAACGTCCTCTCGCTTAACATTGTTTCGATCTTATGTCCCTTTTCAATTACAGAAGATGCTCCATTTAAAGTTGTGCAGTGCTTCACTATAACATCGTTTGGCTGCCTGCTTTGTCCACAGCTCGCAGCCCCCCATCAGCTCCCCTATGCCCCCCCCACAGCGACTCCTGCCCGCAGGCAGACCCCGGGGATCAGTGCCTTCCCCCTCCTCCCCCCGCCTCCTGCCCGCAGCAATCAGCTGGCTTGCGGCATTGGGGGGGGGAGCGAGGACTCAGCACACAGGTTCCCCCTCCCTCCCCTACCTCCTGAACGCCGCAAACCAGCTGATTGCCATGGGCAGGAGGCAGGGGAGGGAGGGGGGAGCCTGTGCGCCAAGTCCTCCCTCCTCCCCCCTCCCTCCTGCCCCCTGAACGTCGCAAGCCAGCTGATTGCCGCGGGCAGGAGATGAGGGGGGAGGAGTGAGGACGTGGCGCACCTCCCCCCTCCCTCCTGCCCGCGGCAATCAGCTGGCTTGTGGTGTTCAGGAGGAGGGGGAGCCTGCGCGGCGTGTCCTCGCTCCTCCCCCTGCCTCTGAACGCTGCAAGCCAGCTGATTGCCGTGGGCATGAGGCAGGGGAGGAGCGAGGATACGGCGTGCAGAGTAAAGGGGGGGGGGGGAAGAGGCTCTGGCTTTTTTGCCGCCCCGGGGGGGGGGTGGAGCGGCCCGAGCCCCAGGGGGAGGGCGGCGAGCCCCGGCGGGGGCTCCGCTCTCCCCCCGGCGGCCAGAGCGCAGGGGGCAGGGCGGCAAGAGGGCGGCGAGCCACAGCCGGGGCTCACCGCTCTCCCCCCGGCGGCCGGGGGGAGGGCTGCCAGAGCACCAGGGGGAGGGCGGCGAGCCTGGCCGTGGCCCCGCTCTCCCGGGCGGCTGGAGCGCCGCGCCGCCCCCCTCCAGGTGCCGCTCCAAGCACAAGCTTGGTGGGCTGGTGCCTGGAGCTGGCCCTGTAAGGGTGTGGCGTGGGCGGGCCGAGGGTTGAGCCTGCCTCATTGTCTCCAGTGCCAGTGGGCTGTGCCTGTGTAGGGTAAGGCGGGGGCACCTCCCAACTATAGTACTGAACTGTATGACAAAAAAAAAAAATTCCCTGGAACCTAACCCCTCCATTTACATTCGTTCTTATGGGGAAAGTGGATTCGCGTAACATCATTTCACTTAGTCGCATTTTTCAGGAACATAACTACAACGTTAAGTGAGGAGTCACTTTAGAATGTATCTAACCAAATGTTGCTCAAACAAATGTTCACCAAATTTCACCCATTCGGAAAGATGTAGTTAAACGTGTACCTTTCATGGGTCTTCTCTGTTCTCTGGCCGATGCCTTTCAATCTCCATGCTTCCTAAACCATATTTGAAAGGACACCGTTAAGTTGAAACTGTCGATTTCAGCAAAATTAACTAAAATACTTTTGGTGAAGTTGACCCAGATCTAAGTCCCCGGCACATTATTTTTAAAATATAGGCAGGTGTTCCTGTTTGTTTTTAAATGTTTCCCTCCTCTATTGCTGTGGGAAAGGCCCACCTCCCCCCCCCCCCCCCCAAGCCAAACACTCAAATAGGTGGAAACTGATTATACATGGGGGAAACAGTAAAACTGATCTGCAAAGTGCTATCAGATACACAAAGCTAATGAACTGAAATATATAGAGGAAATTCTAATGACTTTTAGATATAGTACTCTTAAGGGTTACTCAATAGTAGGCATACAGTTTTCAGATGGAAATTTTTTTATTGATGGTGGTGACCTTTAAACCTCAACAACTTTTTTTTTTTGGGGGGGGGGGGGTAATGGAGGGAATACAGTGCACCTTGCAGCAGAATGAGGACTTCCCTATGGTATTTACTGTGTTATGAATGTATACAAATGAAAAGGGACTGTGGAGGGTTGAGGGAAACTTTCATAATACATGGATTGCAGAGCAGATGCTGTACCCAGAATTCAGTCACTTGATAACAGGATACTGAACAAAATGTTTAAAATGTTGTGTGTTTAGATTTCAGAGGGCTTGTTGATTAATAAGAACATTTTCAACCACACAAAAACTATTAGATAGAGAAGCAATAGAACTAAAACTTTAGGACGCAAAAGATATACACCTCTACCCCAATATAACACGAATCCGGATATAACGCGGTAAAGCAGTGCTCCGGGTGGGTGCGGCTGCGCACTCCGGCGGATCAAAGCAAGTTCGATATAACGCGGTTTCACCTATAACGCAGTAAGATTTTTTGGCTCCCGAGGACAGTGTTATATCAGGGTAGATGTGTATATCCATGATTAAATCAATCAAGCAACCAATACTTAGAGAAGAAGGAAAAGCAATATATCAGTGTGTGGGATGTAATTACAAAGTAGCAGCATAGAATAACATGTTTCTGAAACCGTGGCTTGATTAGGATAGTAAAGTATTTTACATAATAACAGCTATTGGGAAAACTTGCATTTGAAACGCTAAATAAATAAAACAAAAATAAATAGACTAGGTTCAAGCTGTAACCAGAATATTCTGGACAGAAGGTCATTTGATTAGGAAAATACAGTGTATTGTGCAAAACTATTTAAAAATAAGTGCATTCCTGTCGCCCAGGGCATATTCACTAAGCCGTGATTGTATGTCAAAGCTATGGGGTATAGCCTCCCTATTAAATTCACTATTAGAAGATAGATATAACTTCTGTTTTATTTTTTTAAGGAAAGAAGGATTGTCCAAGTGTGGAAGATGTAAACAGGCATTTTACTGCAATGTGGAATGTCAGGTATGTGTTACAACAACTTGTGAGGCGGGTAAGGGTTCACTAACACAGTAAGCTGCACTTATCATTAGTTTAGTACAGCACTGACAGGCTGTAATCACATCTACTGTTAAGATGGTCAGTTTCAGAATCCCACAGATGCTGAGAATGGAGTTGTGCCTTGGACAATTACAGGATTTAGACATGTTCATATTAAGTCATTCAAGATCAGCTATGCTGAGACATGGTATTACTGAGACATTTGATTAGTACAGCCTACCAGCCCACTAATTACTTCAGTAACTTCAGCCTACTTTAAATATACTCAGATTTAACGTTAGTCCCCTAAGCTGGTGAAGAAGTCCCTGTCTAGCTGAAATATCAAAAATAAATATCTGAGTTAGTTTTTTCAAAATCTGTTGCAAGTGTTGCTGTTGTTGATGATAACAGTAGTGTATATTAGTTTAGAAACCTACTGTGCTTCTTCTCTTAGTCTTCAAAAAAGAACGAGATAGGTTCCTGGAGGATAGGTCCATCAATGGCTATTAGCCAGGATGGGCAGGGATGGTGTCCCTAGCCTCTGTTTGCAAGAGGCTGGGAATGGGTGACAGGGGATGGATCACTTGATGATTACGTGTTCATTCCCTGTTCATTCCCTCTGGGGCACCTGGTTTTGGCCACTGTCGGAAGACAGGATACTGGGCTAGGTGGACCTTTGGTCTGACCCAGTATGGCCACTCTTATGTTCTTATATTCTCACACTTCTACTAAGAGGCAGAGATAACCAGAGTGGCCATTCTCTGATATTCATGTTATGGAGCTTTTAATATGCTTTAAAGTAGAATAGAATGAAGGACTGGTTCATTGAAAAACACCCCAGTTCAATTATAATTCTATTTTTTCTTTGTTTTGGAGGGAGAGCTTGTTCTTATGTAATTCACTGAATCTAGCCAATTCCAGTATCCTGCCTTTGCATGCTGTCAGCTTGACCTAAAGTAACCATGCGCCTTATGTTTCCCTTAGTAGTCATCGTCCCCTCACCCCCAGAGGGCCAATTTCTGATATCTTACTCACGTCAGTAGGACTGTTTGTGGAATAAGGCACTACCCAATGTGAGTAAGGGTCCAGAGTTAGGTACTAATCAATGTGAGTAATGGGCAGCAGGATCTGGTCTCCTTTGATTTTCTTTCATCTGCAAAGGACAGTGGACAAGGGTATATTTGCCTATTAGCTTTGTTCCCCCCCCCCTTTCGCTTTCTTCATTTCCATTATTTATATAGGATGGAAAGATCCCTGGGAGGTGGTAATATGGCCAAACTTGTTCATGACAACATCTGGGGGGAGATTCATAGACTCTAGGACTGGAAGAGACCTCGAGAGGTCATCGAGTCCAGTCCCCTGCCCTCATGGCAGGACCAAATACTGTCTAGACCATCCCTGATAGACATTCATCTAACCTACTCTTAAATATCTCCAGAGATGGAGATTCCACAACCTCCCTAAGCAGTTTATTCCAATGTTTAACCACCCTGACAGTTAGGAACTTTTTCCTAATGGCCAACCTAAACCTCCCTTGCTGCAGTTTAAGCCCATTGCTTCTTGTTCTATCCTTAGAGGCTAAGGTGAACAAGTTTTCTCCCACCTCCTTATGACACCCTTTTAGATACCTGAAAACTGCTATCATGTCCCCTCTGTCTTCTCTTTTCCAAACTAAACAAACCCAATTCTTTCAGCCGTCCTTCATAGGTCATGTTCTCTAGACCTTTAGTCATTCTTGTTGCTCTTCTCTGGACCCTCTCCAATTTCTCCACATCTTTCTTGAAATGCGGTGCCCAGAACTGGACACAATACTCCAGCTGAGGCCTAACCAGTGCAGAGTAGAGTGGAAGAATGACTTCTCGTGTCTTGCTTACAACACACTTGTTAATGCAGATGAACTATCCCTCTTCAGATCAGGCTCCCCCCCCTCCCATATTTTAGTGTGCGGGAGTAAAAATCTTCAAATGGCCTCCTACTTTTGAGTCACAAGCTGGTTTGGAAAGCTTTTAGCAAAGGCAGCTTAAAAATGTAAATATTGCTATTGGCTTACATAAGAGGTTGGAGGAGATTGTCAGGGAAGTAGTTGCATAGAGCAGAAAGTGAAAGCTTCGTGAAATGAGCATCTTTAAGGACCCAGGTGAAAGTCCTGCAAAAGCTTCACAGGAAGCCTAGGTAAATCCTCTGACAACCCATAATCTCCTCATGAGAAGCACTTGCACTTAGTTGTAAGAAGTGCATGCTGGGAGACATTGTTTCAAACCAGCCCTGTACAATTAATGTGAGAGAATCCAATAATATTTGCAATAAAATTGCTTTGTGCTCTATAACATCTTCCATCTGAGAATCTGTTTCTTCACAAACAAGGAAATAAGCTCCTGTGAAGTAGATAATGGCAATTGTTGCCATTTTACAGATGGATTAATTAAGGTAGAGAGAAGTTAAACAACTTGGCCCAGATCAAACAGCAAGTGCACATCGGAGGCAGTAGTAGGACCTAGATCTCCTGACGTTGAGTCATTTGCGTTATCCACAAGTCCATCCTCTGCCTTCCAGTATTCTGGAATCTACACTCCAGACTTGAGGAGCCTTATAGAATAGGAGCTGGTTCCTCTCCTCCCTTACGCATTGGCCCCCCAAGAACAGGTATTAATGTATTGTAGATCACTCATTATCTTTTACAGTGTGAGGTAGTGTTTGTATTTTGCTATCTCTAACGTTTTTAAAGGACCAGAACACCCTTTATTATGATGAAATGTCCTTCCAAGAGGAAAAGTCCTCTCACCATCCACTCAGGAAGACAGAACATCCTGAAAGTTTCAGGAGACAACATTTAGCAGAAGAGCTGATTGTGTGCTAAGCTAATGATAATTAAAACCCTTCCTACATGTGTATACATAATGCTTTGTATATAAAATCATTCAGTAGTGTTTCAATGTCTTCAGTGTAGTGTGATGTGCCCCAGCATTGGCTCTTTCTTCATCACTACATGTGAAATGCTTAGGGCTTCTTGCTCTCTCGGCATAAATCTATCTTCAGTGTTTTGGATCCTTCTGAATCACTCAGATGAAATTTAGGAACGTTGCTGGGATTCAATTCTTCTGACATTCTTTCAACGTTCTCTTCAAGCACAACATTCTTTAGAAACCGGTCCCCACTGACTGTATATGCTGCACAGACAATCTACATCACATCTTCATCCTTGTCTTGTTCAAAGGCACTTTTCGCCAATTCAGCAATTCTCTGTCAAAGCTGAGAAGGACATCTGTGCCTTGATATTGAACGTGTAACAGTGGGATGTACAGTAAATGTTTCCCTTTCAGCTTCCATGGATGTGGGACCTCATGCTTTGGTTTTCTTCATACCAAACTGATGGAAGTCTGGAGCTGCACTTAAGAGCTTTCTTATAGCATTGTTCATTTGATATTTTTAGTACTCTATGAATCCACACCCATTTGCCCAATTGAACTAAAAATTGCCCTTGCCAACAAGAACCTGGTATAGATACAATGCTATAAAAATAATCTGAAAATCACTCAGTCTGACAGCTGTTTGTCACATTCGGTGTACTATGTGGGACATGAAATCAATTTCACTTCAATTCATACTCCCCTTTCTAAAACAGTTTAAAACATAAGAACGGCCATACTGGGTCAGACCAATGGTCCATCTAGCCCAGTTCCTGTCTTCTGACAGTGGCCAATGCCAGCTGCTTCAGAGGGAATGAACAGAACAGGGCAAATCACAGGGATTGATCCATCCCCTGTTGTCCAGTCCCAGCATCTGACAATCAGAGGCCTAAGGACACCCAGAGCGTGGGGTTGCATCCCTGACCAACTTGGCTAATGGACCTATCCTCCATGAATTTATCTAGTTCTTTTTTGAATGCAGTTATACTTTTGGCACTCGTAACATCCCCTGATGACAAGTTCCCCAGGTTGACTGTGTGTTGTATGAAGGAGTAAAGTACTTCCTTATGTTTGATTTAAACCTGCTGCCTATGAATTTTATTGGGTGACTCCTGTTTCTTCCTGTATGTGAAGGAGTAAATAATACTTTTTCTCAACACCATTCATAATTTTATAAACCTCTACTATACCTCCCCTCCATACCAATCATCTCTTTTTTCCAAGATGGACAGTCCCAGTCTTTTAATCTCTCCTCATATGGAAGCTGTTCCATAACTCCAATCGTTCTGTTATCCTTCTCTGGACCTGTCCAGTTCTAATATATCTTTTTATTTTGAGATGGGATGACCAGAACTGCATGCAATGTTCAAGGTGTGGGTGTACCATGGATTTATATAAAGGCATTTTGATATTTACAGTACAGACCCGTTTACACGCGACCCGTTTACACGCGAATCCGCTTAAAGCGCGGTAGCGCCATGCTCCCAGTGCTACCTATTTAACACGCGAGACTCATTAACACGCGGTACAGGGACTTGCTATGTAGCACTACAGATTTGCTCAGTAACTCACTGACATAGAAATCGACAGGAAGTGCAGAGCGGAAATGTGTTGTACGTCTTTATCGATATTGGTAAAGACTTATCATGCATGCTTAGTCATTGTCATGCTAGAGAGATATATAATATATACAGTAGTACTGTAGTTATATAGTAATACAGTATATATACTACATTAGAAAATTTTAACCATAGGCCTAATATAATGGAAGAGGGCAAGCGTCAGCGTTCCTACACTGTAGAAGAAAAGCTAGCTGCAATAGGTCGAGTAAATAGCGGAGAAACCCAGGCCAAAGATTCAAAAGATATTGGGATTGCCGAATCTACTCTCCGATGATGGCTAAAAAACGAATCTAAACTGAATGGCTTTGTACAAAATATTGATTCTGCTGCGGGGCTTAAGTGAAAACATGTGCGCTGTTCAGCAAAACCCACAATAGACAAAGCCCCGCACATGGTTTGCTCAGGAAAGGCTGCAAGGAATGCCGCTAAGTGGGCCAATTCTTCAAGCCCAAGCGAC